TGTCACCGTTTGACTCAGGTCCGACAACAATGCTCTCGATCCCCCCTCCCCCCAACCCAGGTAGGGAAGGAGAGAGAAAAAGAGAGAGACTTGGCTGGTTTGAAAACTAAACTACACAGCTTTAATTAAAACACTAATGAATGATACAAGAAAATATATACAATTATGTACAGATATGTTCAGGAATGGGCAAAAAGCCTCTCGCCTCCCCTCACCCCAGCAACTCCCACAGCACTTCCCTGAACTGGGAAGAGTCCCGAGGAATCCCGGAGCTGCTGCTGGAGAAAGCAGAGAGTTATGGGGGTCACGAGAGATCAAGCCTGAGGATCGACGGTGATGGATGAACAGAGTCCTCCCAGGACGCCGGCCATGGACGGAAGAGAAGGGAAGAAGAAGAAGGAAGGAAGGTGTCTTCTGTGATCTCTGACCTTCCTCTGAGCTTACGTAGATATATGGAATGGAATATCTTTGGCCAATTTTGCTGTCCGTCTAACTCAGCCTCCTACGGGGGGGTCACAGATCTCCCCATAGTGTCTGAGCCGGCAGAGTGCAGGTGCAGCCTTGAAGCCTCAGTAGTTAGAAAAACATTCCACTGTCTTATCAGCCTAGCAGAACACACTGTTGCTAGTTACAAGAAAGCTTACTGAAGGAAAAAAAAATCACTAAAAAGAAAAATTGGCTTCATCCTGGCTCAAACCAGGACAGTGGTAACATTTAGATGTTTTGTAAATGTGGAAAACAGCCCATCTTTTCTCCTCACATAAGACTAAATAAAATGTTCTTTTTCCCCAAAGATCCCATTTGTTCAAATATAATCCTGGAAAAATTCCTTGTTAAAGAAACGTTTTCTAGCATTGAGGTCTATACAGCTTCCTTTCAGAATCCAAAATGGTGATTATCTCAGTCTTGGAATTAACAAATAAAAGTGGTCCATAAAACCTGAGCAAAAATTGAGATTGTTCCCTCATGGGTTCTTGGATTATCCAAATTGTAGCATCCCAATGGATGGATTAAAGTAATAATATTTTCCTGGTAGACTCAGCTTTAAATCTTAGCTCTGCTGCAGAACTCTAGTGTGGCTCATGATGAGTACATGTTCAGCTGTGGCAGGAACCTGGGACCTTAGTTGCCTGTGTGAAAATGGGGCTACTCTTGTGGGCCTCAGAGCTATATATGAAGTGCTATAATGACCTTGGATAGCATAACAGTAGATAGATATTGAGGACTGTATTCACTGGAACAGTTTTCAGACCTGATCCTAAAATACTTAGAGAGTGGGGGCCATGTTAGTGTCTCGACTGAAAATGTGCTATTGTGCAAACAGTGCCTTACAAATAGGTGCAAGATGTGGGCAGAGATGAAAAGAGGAAATGTGCTCTGGAAAAACACAGTGATGTGAGAGTCATATTGAAAATATTGTGAGACTGATTTCTATATCAACTTCTTTTTAAAAAGTTATTTAAAATTCTGACTGTTTGTTCCTGATTAATGACAGATGTTCCCAAAGTACTCTTAATTTCTTCGTTATTCTCTTTTCAAGGAGTAGAAACAAGTTAGTTGGACATACTTCAAGTGGATTCTAAATATTTCTAGGGAGAAATTAATTATTTCATCACAGATGTTGAGAGGAGGAGAAAAAATATAGAGTAATTAATTTGGCCTCTTTAAAATTATCTCTTCAGATTCATTTTGATGAAACTACCCAGTTTTAATTTCCTAATGTCAGTATCATTTTAGTGTACATGTTTGAACAGGTACCACATTTCACACAGAGTATAACTACATTTCAATAACTATGAAAAATTATTTGCTTGTTGTTTTAAATGAAATCCTGAAACATTTAAGCACAAACATGAAAGACAATATAAGTGGAAGTCATCATCTCCGTTAGCTTAGCCTTACCAAATACATGAGCTGATGGCAGATGGATCCATGAAACCTTTTAAAAAAGGGGTCTGTTCTGAAAAGGATTTCTCTTATTTTATTTTGTTAAATTACATTTTAATTCTGTAAAACTATCACTCCAAGGTGGTGGGATTTTTTTGTGGTTTTGTTTTGTTTTGTTTTTGTGGGTTTTTTTCCCCCATTGGTGTCTTAATAGTAAATTTGTTATTTTTAAAAAATTATAAATCAAAATATATGACTGCTTTTTGTCAACCTTGTCATTTGGAGTCAATTTGTGTCTGTGAGTCACACTCTTAATTCTCTGTGGGCACCTGAGTATTCTGACACATTACCTTTTACCTGCCTCTTTCTTCTCCCACACCTAAAAGCCTTTTTGTCTTTTTGATAACATAGTCAGACTGCCATACTGCTTATAGCCACAGTGCTGTTGCTATTTCAGAGTGACCTAGGGATTGTTTTCAGCACTACTTTAGATATGTTTCTTCTTTATCTCTGGAATATCAAAGTCTGGTCTTTAGAATTCTAGTGCTTGAAACCATAACCCAACTCTGTTTGATGCCTGTAAGAAAGAAATCTTTTGGATTCTGTTTAAAGGAAGGAGGTGACAGTGTGAAAACACACTCAAAAGAAATGTATTTCCTTGCTCACAGGTAAATATGCAAAGAATTCTTTAAGCTAGTGTTCTTACTAAAATCTTACTTCTTTTGGAAAGATCTATCAATTTCCATTGGACCTATTGCCACCATCTGCAGGCTTCTTTTGAAGTTTACTCTCTGCACATGTTCTCCTTTCTCTCTTTTCACAGGGGACTTTAGAAAATTTGCTCTCTCTGGTCCTGTTTTTGTCCTGCTTGTACCCAGAGGTTTCCTACTCAGGAGCTCCTCTTTGATTCCAATGGGGTTTTTATTATAATCTTTTGTTTGCACTCTGTATTTTTCATACCATTTTATTCTGTTTATTTCCAGTCACCCATCTCCTTTAATTTACTTGTAGTCAGGAGCAAAATTGAGTCAGATCTTGAAGTGGTGATGTTATGATCTTGGGAGGAGGTAGCAATATCACCTCTTCCTGGAGACAACATGGCAGAAGCCTAGAGGTGCTGATTCGTACTTAGACAATATATAACTGATAGTTACTCCTGGCAGAGTGGCTTCCAGTGATTTTGGCTACCTGTGGATATAGTGGAGCAGAATGCTGGACATAATGAGCTTTAGGGTTTCCCTGTTGATAGTGAAAATAAATAAAGTTAATAGTGTGACGTAGCCATTGCAAGACAGCAGTTGCTCTTTAAGCTTTCTATCCAGCACCTGCAAAAACTCCAGGAAAGGAAGAACTACTACTTTGCTGGGAGCAGTAATTTTGCGGTCTCTTCCCCCAGTACGAGGCAGCAACTGCTGAGTGCCAGCTGGCATTCTGAGTGCAGCACTTTGTCTAAAACAGTAGTAATATGATCATGTTCAATGGTAGAAAATGGCTGTATGGCTCAACCTCTCACTCAGAGCACTGAGGTAAGGTGCACATGTTCATTGCAGAGAGTAAATAATTCCCTTACACATTTGAATGTTCTGCACATTTGGCTCAGCATCTGAACATTATTTCAGTCTACCAGCCTGTATTAAAAATGCTCCAATTAAAATTTAACACTTCAAAATACAGGGAAATTAAAGGTTTCTTTCCTCCCTTCCCCTAGGTGCTCATTAACAATATTTTGCTATACCTGACATTCTTCTTCTTGTAAGCCTTTTCCAAGAACTACTTTGTAGCAGCCCATCTGGTTTATTCTCTTGATTCGCAGCTAATGTGTGCCATGATCAGCTAAAAAGACAGGAGGGGAAGAAGATTGTATTGCCCTTGATGCTGCAATTTGGATCAGAGTTTCTTTATGACAGAGCCTCAGAGCACATTTGCCTAGAAAACTTCTAGACTTTAGGGTAGGGTAGGCAGAGAAAGGGGGACAATCTTTACAGTGTGTGAGAGGAGATTGGTAGCATCTTTGGAAAAACAAGTGCTGAGTTCTCAGGAGGAATAAACATTTTCCTCAGGGACCAGAAGAAAACAGTTGCAACCCAGGAAATTGCTTCAACTTGCTGAGAACAAGATTCAAAGAAAAAGATGTATTGTGTAAAGAGACAGTGGGAAAGAGGAGAAGCTTATGAATACTTATTTTGTCTCATCTAGCTGTTGCAGTTTTCAGTACGTCAGAAGTTACCTTATCCTGGTTTTAGAAAACAAGCAGTTCAAAAGTCTTTTGATGACGACCAGTCTAAGAGCTGCGTACCGACCCCTGTTGAATTCTGAGTCCAGTTCCAAGTACCATCCTCTAGCCCTTTTTGTTGTTCAATAACTTGAAAATGCCTATTTTGGAATAGAGGAGGAGAGATGAGTTGGCTGTGCCATGGACACTATTATAGAGGTACATATATGCAGTTTGTGCCACAGTCTTTCTGCAACTGGTGACTTTCCTTTGCTCAAAAGGATTTTACTGTAAAGCCTCTCCATAACTGGTGTCTGTGAGCACATGGAATACTTTTTTGGAAAATCTGCTTTCTAAAGGAAGGTTTTCTTCCATCTACACAGTCCATTCACACAGTGCCTGTAATATTTGTTGGTGTAATCATGGTAGATTTGCTGTCATCTAATGCCTTATTGCTTTAATAATTGTCTCATCAGATTCATACTTCTCTAATTAATGGACGGCCTAGTGCTGATGATCCTTCGCGCGTGTTACTAGAATTCACCTCAGCTCGCTTTATTCGCCTGAGATTTCAGAGGATACGGACCCTAAATGCTGATTTAATGATGTTTGCACACAAAGATCCTACTGAAATTGATCCCATTGTTACAAGAAGGGTAAGTTCTGGCAAGACAGTAGAAATGCATGTGTAGGAGTTCTCTGACACTTGTAAATGTTGTACCTGCCTTTGTTTGGCACAGGAAATTTTGGGTGATGATGAACACCTGTTCTTATCTGTCCCAATCCTGGTGTTAGATAATGCTCTCATCCCAGTATTTTATCATTTTTTCTATAGCAGAAGTAAAAATTTTTTATTTTCTGCTTAGTGGTGTTATTAACATCAATTACATGCTTATTAACAGGAGCACACAGCTCCTTTGGCTGCAGATGTTTAGATGCAGGTAATTGGCAACTGGTTACTATAAGATAGTGTCTTCTTGCCTCTTCTGCTCAATCTTCTGCTATCTTTAATATTCCTTGAACATTTACTTTGAGGAGAATTTCTACTAATCCTAGGGCCTGAAAGCCACAGTTCTAACATTATTATATGATTGTTGCTAACAGTAAAATTCTACATTGTGCTTTAGCTTAAAAGAATGGATGCAGCACTCAAACTCACTCTTCTCCACTGTTCCCTGTGTGCACACACACCTGTCTCTTCTTTCTGCAATCTATGCTTTCTTCCTATGCCACATCTCCCTGTTTTCCTACTGCTCAGATGTTGTGTATTATTCTGGTTTTCCTCTGATTTCTCTCCTAAGCATTCTTAAAAGCTGTTTTGGGAGATGTATACCTTTCCACAGTTTTTACCATCTGCTCACTTCATGTTTCTGCTGGTCATCTTATTTTTGTTTTGGAAACTTTGGAATATCATTGTAATAAGTTCTATTATGTTATTATTATACCAGGGAAGTATTTGTATTCTTGGCTTTAGTTAATTTCTTCCTCTAAATACAAACAGTGCTGGCTCTTTCTGAAATTGTTGAATTTTGTACCATTCTGTTTTGTATTAGAAATCCAGAAACCCTTCGAGTTGAATGCAGTTATTGCAGCCTCACTAATCATGGGAACTCTTTACGTCAGACTGCACATTTAATAATCTGCTTCTAAGTGGGAAAAAACCCACAAAATTGAATTCAAACTTTAAAATCACTTTATACTCACGAAAACCTAGTGCAGGATGATCCACAGATTTCTCAAACCAACAAAGAAAAATAACTTCTGAATGGCATCTCTCCATGAGCCTGTCCTCAAAGGAACATGGAGCAACTGAAACTTGCTATCCTTGTCTGGCTTTTCCTATAGAAGACATTAGACAAGCCGCTATTCCACGAAACAGGAAACAAAGGGTATCCACAAATGGTACATTTTCTCTGTGCTAGAAGGCTAACTGCCAGATATATGAGTTCCTGTTTTGTTAGGTGTATTTATTAATGACCTGAAAAGAACTGAACACAGAAACATCAACATTTGCAAATAGGATAAGTATGTTTTGATTAGCCAGTTGTTAGGATGTTACAGGACCCTCACCAAAACAGATGAAAATGGACAAGATGACATGTGAGATGCACTTTTCCCAGAAGTCATAGTCCATCATTATCTTTCCATCCTTCTTTCTGGTTAGGGTTATGAATCCCCACCCAAGGGGGGGAAAAAAAAAAAAAAAAGGTCAAATATAAGAGCAACAAGTCAAAAGTAATTTAGATCTCAGTAATGAAGACTGTTTCATAGTCATTTAAAAGGCCAATACTGAAAACCAGTTCATCTTTCCACAGTCCAGCGAAGATCCAAGTAAGACCCAGCTAAGGTGAATAAAGGTGTTTCTTTCTCAGTTTTTGCTCTAGCCTTTATCTTCTCCCCATCATAATGTCTTTTCATGTTTTCTGAAAGGAACAAATTCTATAGCATCTGACTTTTTATTATGCAGTGTGCACATAGCCTTTTCCTGTTCTCATGTTTGGTGTATGGTATGTGTAAATTGACATGGCTCTTGCGACTTCAAACAAATGGAACTGTGCCAATTTATATGCTTCCTTTCACTAAGCCTAAATCTGTTGATCAACTGGCAGCTTGGATTACACTGTCTGCTATATTTGTAATGGATCAAAAAGGAAATAAAACAGGGCCTGACACTTTCATAACCAGAAATTAATTCTGCAGTTTGGCACCTGCATTTTACAATCCACTTAGCAATTAAATTTCTATTTTGTCTTACAGTATTACTATTCTATAAAAGATATCTCTGTTGGAGGCATGTGTATATGTTCAGGCCATGCGAAGGCTTGTCCACTGGATCCAGCAACGAATGTATGTATTTTTCTTTTTTCCTTTTTGTTCTTTTTCCCTTTTTCCTTTTTTTTTTTTTATTTTTTTTAGTGTCTTTTTCATAGTGCAGAATGTGAGAAAAGAATCTTGATATTCCTCAGAGTTCTGTGAATTTATGTCTGTTTTCCACATTTGAACAAGGTCAGCGGACACTTGCTTTGAAATTAAAAAGAGGTTTCAGATAACTCAGTCCATATCAAAGGTTTCCTAGGAACAATAGAAATATGAGTTATGTTACATAGCTGTAGAGATGAGCTCTAACAGTCTGTCTTTTCCTTGTTGATATTAATCAGGGTGTTTCCTAAGACTGTCAAGTATTTAATCTATACTTACAAACAAATGATGGCTCTAGAATGGTGCATTTCCTATGCTGGAAATCTTAACTGAGTGATCAGTCAAGCTAGTCTGGAAAATCATGAAGCTGTTTGTAATGTCTTCCAACTTTTAGCTTCTTTTTACACCATCAATAAATATGTAAACAATGTAATTGAAGTAAAGAAATATAATTTGTTACTGAGGGCCCAGATCTCTGCACACATTATCACTAATACAGAATTTGCAATCTACTAGTAGTACAAATGTGCCACAATGTAGGATCTGTTAATATACTCTTCACTTAAGTAGGAATTTTGTAGGATTTAATATAGAATTTTGTTTGCATATGACTTTAATCCATTGTGATGGAACTGACTAAAAAAACAACCTCTAAGGTTTCTATGGATCCTTGTGAAGGTTTTACGAACTCCTTGGTTCAATCTTTCTAAACCTTAGTTACCAAACAGCAGCATTGTTTTAGTGCCATCTGTCAGAATTGGTCCTACTTAAGAAAGTAAGTGCTGTTACTGCAATTAATACAGACTGCAATTCAGATAGTTTGTCTATTAGATAAAGGAATTTTGACAAAAGTGGTGTCTTGTTTTGCAGGATGACAAATACATACACAAATGCAACTACATATTTGTAGTCTGACCAGTATCAAGCCATAAGAGATTTGGACTACTTGATTTAGCTCTCCAGGAGTAGTCTTAAGATGGAGCTACAACAAAGGCTTTGGCTTATAAACATCATTACTGAAGTGGTTAACACAATGCATCTTTCCCCTAGCATTACAAATAATAAACTTGCTTGAATTTACTGCCTTGCTTTTCTGAAGCATTCCTTAACTTAACCTTGTTTTGCAAGATTCATGCTTTGTCCTGTGAGCCATAGAATTTCTCCAGTTTAACTTGCTGCCTTGACCTTGAGTGGCTTCTAAAGGACTAGAGAGAATCACCTCCACTGAATGACTGTTGGGAAGACATTATTTTTCTCCTCATTTCTCCAAACTACAGTTTCTTTTATCTTTTCCAAGCTGCTTTTGTGGCTCAGAGAGTTTGATGATTCCATACAGCAATATTTTCATGCTGGGACTAAGGTGGTCTGCTGAGGAACTGGAAAGTGACTAGAAGGCTGGGCCTTCTCTCATCTCTTATTAGATTAAAAGGTCCTACTATCTCTCGCATAGAATTAGTTATGCAGTCAGAAGGTCACGTGATGAATTGACACATCCAATAAAAATGTAATGCGAAAGTTAAAAGAAAAGCCAATTTTTATTGGATCAGACAACAGGACTGATTTCACTCTGCAGCTGCAGGATTGCTACATCTCAGGGAGGGGTGAAGGGCTCACTCCTAGCATCAGCTAGCCATCAGACCAGTGTTCCTGTAATGTGAAGTTCTATCTAAGGGCTTCCAGCACTTTGGCTTATTTGCTGTACTGAAGGACTTTCATTCTCTCATCCTTGTTTCTTCAGCCAGTTGGAATTAGATTCTCCTCTTTTCTTAAATCCTCCCTAGATTCTCTAGCCAACTATCTTCCTTTGCTTCATGGCTGTTTTCTTAAAATAGAGCAGCAGAAGTTAAACACAGTCTTTTGTCTCTCACTTGGTGAATACAGGATACATAAATGAATAAAAATGCATAAACAGGGGAATTACGGTGTATAGCCCTTCTGAATGTTAATGTTTCCATAATTTGAACTGGAATGCAGATTATGTACATGGACAGATTCTTCTAATCAGCACATTGTGTAAATATTTGTTTTTCTTTTAAATTAGAAATCTGTCTGTCAGTGTGAGCATAACACATGCGGAGAGACGTGTGATCAGTGTTGTCCTGGTTTCCATCAAAAGCCTTGGCATGCTGGCACTTTCCTGGTTAAGCATGAATGTGAACGTAAGTTGAAAACAGTGCAGAAGAGAAAGTTTGTTGCAGCTGCTGGTGAAAACTGAAATCAGGTCCTACATGATTTTGCAATTAATTTTTATTTCTAATGACATTTGTTTATGGATCAGTTGTTCACTTGTTTAGACTGGCACAAAAACAGTTAACAGGAAAATTACATGTAAAATCATGGTTGTAAGGTGCTGATACTGGTGAAATACTGTATAAAAATTATTTTGATGTGTTTAATTTTTATAATTATGGTGGTTTTATTTTGATAAAATCACAGGACTGTAGCTTGATAAGTAAAAAAAATAAAACTAATGTATAGATTTTTCATTGTATAAAAATTTAATGGCCTTTTTTGTATAAATGGCAGTTTTTATATTTTTTACTTTTCAGCCTTGTGGAAAAAAAAAAATTACATTATTAAAATGCAGTTGGAGTTTCTGATTTTTTAAATGGAAGAAACAATGCATCTAGTTTTCCAAGATGGAATAAAAACATACCTTAAAATATCACCTTCCCACAGGGCAGGAATTTCATTCTCAGATTTGCTGTAGTAAGGATAGTTGTAATTGAACTTCAACATCTTAACTTCCAAAGGTCATATACCACTTATATTTATATTTCTGAACATAATAAAATCCTGTGCTCCATTACTTTTAAGTGTTTATTCAGTTGTGGGATTACAGCTATAGTTTTGCCATGAGTGGTTAAAAATAAACTAGGAGAAAGAGATATCCCTATATTAAAGCAGTAATTGCTTATTTATGCCATGTAAACTTTGGTCACAGAGGTCTTTGTTTCAGTAGGGACTCTATCTGCACCAGCAATGCATTCTGGAATGAAATTAGGTTGCATTTTGTTTCATGTTTAATTTTGGAGAGACACTTCTTATGCCCAGTGCAACCCTCAGTGAATTGTGATACTTTCATGGTAGAAACAGGTCCTTGGGATCTGGTTCAGATGTGAGGAGAATGACTCCCTACAATGTTAACGAGCTTTGAATTTCTCTTTATGTGGAAATAAATGTTTTAATACCACAGGGGAAGGGAGAAAGTGAGCTACCTCATTTTCACAGCACAAGATTATTTGATTAGCTCTCCTGAATGTGAACTTGAAGCCTAAGAGTTCAAATCTGAACTTCTAAAGAAGTTTTAAGATTGGGACCCTGTTCTTATATCCATATGTGCAAACCAGATGGTTTAGTGTGTCTTTCAGCTTTCATGGAAATTAAGTTACTTATACCATTCTGCCACTCCCCTTATAATTCTGTTGTATTTTAAATTAGCTGACTCTTTCATGAACCACATGTATGTGCAACCACCAAAAGGTTTCTGGACTATCAATTTAAACACAAAAAAAATATTCTAAGATGAAACAGGAAGAACTTAATTAGACTGTATCTGTCAACTGGCTAACTCTCCCCCATACAAAACATCATGGGAAAAATACAATATACAGAATTCCAGGTGGTGTTTGTGATGAGACCAGGTGACTTTTCACATCTGAAGTAGTAAATGAATGCTTGGACGTGCTTCCAGTTACAACGCACACAGCACCCATGATAAAATGTTGAACAACTCTTTTTAATACCTAAGTAAGAGCGTGGCATCTCCAGCTGGGAAGTGTTAACTAACACAGTTCCTTCTCTTTTAGCATGTAACTGTCATGGGAAGACTGAAGAGTGTTACTATGATCAGGATATCGCAGACAGAAATCAGAGTTTGAACGTCCATGGAGAATACATTGGGGGTGGAGTGTGTGTGAATTGTACAGGCCACACTGGGGGCATCAACTGCGAGACCTGCATCGATGGTTACTTCAGACTAAAAGGGGTAAATGCCTGTTCTGTTGTCACTTAAAAGCGTTCAAACCAGCACTGCAGCATGGGCAGTTAACATATTAAAAAGAGAGGGGACCTTTTGGATTGCCATTTTATGAAGTTTAACTTCTAATTCTGACAGTGTACTAGCTGTTTTTCAATTGGAAATCTGTAAATGCTCACAGAAATATGAAAGTGGATTGTGTTGATATGAAGGAATGCACTTGAGGTCAGGGCCTCCAGCTTGTATTTCAGTTTAATTTTAAGGAGGATGTGGTCCTGTAAACAGAACTCTTGCCTCAGTAATGAATTTCAAGATCTGATATCAAAGATCAAATAAATACTGCTATGTCTGATATTGAAGGGAGTCTGTAACTTTTATTTTTTAAATGCAATGTAGAATTAATAGCCACTGAAATTCTATGTGTAGCGGGAATTGTTTTTTGTGTTTCAGCATATAAGTCTGTATTTTCATCTAAGTTGAAGCCCTTAGAAGATGCATCTTTATAACTGTTAGTATTGCTGTATGGGCTGTGCCTGTGCTTTAGATAGCTTCACTATTAGTGTGTGCTTAAATTCCTGATATTTTGTCTGTATAGTTTCAGTTGGGTAAATCATGGCCTTTAGTCTGATTGGTTGTCAATCCTCAAACACAGAATACATCAACAAATAACAATGATTACATTCTCCCTAATATACTAGTTGTAGCCCTAGAGCTTGAGAAAAGGACTACTGATCTCTTAATCAGCATTATTTTTTTTCTTTTGAATTAAGTTACCATCCAGTTAATTTGGATTCTATATCTGTGTGTGTAGGGATTTTATGTGTGTGTGTCTATAATATGCTTATATACCTAGTTCATGAAGAACTGGAATTTACGTTCCCACTGTCATATTAGACTAAGGTTTAAGTTTGGTTGAGGTAACCTTTTCAAGAACAAAAGGAAATTGTTCCATTGTTTAATGTTCACTTTTATTTATTTTGTTTAGTTGCTCACTAATAACTCTAGTTAATTCTTGGAACTCTGCTAACCAAACCAACTAAACTATTTGTCAATATTACTTTAGGTAGTGAGTGCTTAAAATCTACAATGATATTTATTGATTTTAATTATACAAGGGTCTGTTATTATTTCTACACCAGTTTTGGTTTTTTTTTAGTTGAAAACGTGTTTGTACCTAAGTCACTTACACGTTTTTAAATAAAAATCCAAATATAACTTGAATGCCTAGACTGCATGGGCTAAGAGTGACAACCTTCTAATTTTTCTTAAAGTGCAAACTACCTACACAAAAGTTGTTCTCCACCACTTTTTGTTTAAGAAGTAAATAAAAGTTTTAATTCTTAAAGATAAGATTCGGTTTTGTAAACTCTTTGTTTTTCTAGGTATTACCAGATAGCCCAGATCCATGCCAGCCGTGTTCCTGTGATCCAAATGGGTCTTTACATGATACCTGTGTCAAAGATGAGAAACATGCAGAAGGAGGTAAGATCCCTAAAAGACAGTGATGCTAAAGGTTCATCAATGAAAAAGAAAAGCTGAAACACTGTTTGTTTGGGTTTTTTAAAGTTTACTCGTGGGAACAATAATCCACCTCCATTCTTATACTTTGGAAATCAAGATTTTATATCCCCAAATTTGCTGAGGCTTCTCTCAAATTCATGGCAGGCAAACTTGGTTACATATGGAAGAGTATTCCAAATGGAACATATCGGAGAAATTTGGCTTTAAAGAGCTCTCTTCTTTTACAGCAGAGATTAAAACTAGTACGACCATAATGTTTTAATCTCTTTTCCTCTCTAGGCATATTTCCATTTGAAACCTAGACAAAAATATTTGAAAAGTGTCATATTTGTGTGCCATCTCTATTATTAATGTAGGCTTGCAAGCTCTTTGCCATAGCCCTGTAAAAAACATCCCCAAATAGAGAATAAACTGTGTCCTTGTGCTTTGGAAACAATGGATTGACATATTTTTCTGGCTTCTTTTATTGATAAACTTCTGAAAATACTGTACAAAGATAGCAACAAAACTCAAGATCAGTTCTTAAGAGATGTTTTAATTTTGCTAATTACAATCTATTGACAAGAGATGTAGCAATCTTTTTTGAAACAGAGATCAGTGGAACATAAAAGTAGCATAGCAGGGATGCAAATACAGTGCCCAGAGGTGTAAAATCTACCATAAAAACCTTGTACTGATTACATCAGTTCAATAAAATGACACTGATTACTGTCACAATAGTATATATGGAAGGCTGACCTTGGCCAGCTGCGACTGTGTACCCAGTTTCTCCCTCACTACCCTTCTAAGTGGGATGGGGAAAAAATAAGATGAAGCAGCTCTTGGATCTATGTTAAGACTAGGAGACTGCTTACCAGTTACTGTTGTGGGCAAACAGTAATGCTCATAGCAGTTCCTCTCTGACACTGTTTTCTCCTCACGTTTTCCCCTGATTCCGGCTTGGGTCCTTCCCACTGGTTGCCATCCTTTAGGAAAAAATTGTGCTCTGCCATGGGTGTTTTTTCAGGAAATATCCGCCTGTTCCTTCATGGGGTCTACCACAGTGTGCATTCATCATAGAATCATAGAATGATTTGGGTTAGAAGGGACATTAGAGATCATTTAGTTCTAAGCCCCCTGCTATGGGTAGGGACACCTTTCCCTAGACCAGGTTACTCAGAGCCCCATCCAGCCTGCCCTTGAGCACTTCCAGGGAGGGGGCATCCACAACTTCCCTGGGCAACCTGTTCCATTGTTGCACCACCCTCACTGTAAGGAATTCCTTCCTAGTGTCTAATCTAAATCTACCCCCTTCTAGTTTTACTGTGTTACCCCTCGTCCTGTCATTTTACGCCCTTGTAAAAAGCCCCTCCCCAACTTTCCTGTAGACCCCTTCAGGTACTGAAAGGCTGCTATAAGTTCTCCCTGGAGCCTTCTCTTCTCCAGGTTGAACAGCCCCAACTCTCTCAGCCTGTCTTCATAGGAGAGGAGCTCCAGCCCTCTGATCATCCTCATGGCCTCCTCTGTACTCACTCTGGAGTCTGGGTATCCGCTCCACCATGGTCTCCCCCAGGAGCCACAGGGGAATCTCTGCTCCGGCATGTGGAGCACCTCCTCCCCCTCCTTTTCCTCTGACCTTCTCTGACCCATCTGGCTGAAGGCCCTCAGCCATGCCCTGTGGTGGGTCAGCTGAAGCCAGATGGAACCAGTTGTGTCCAGCATGGAGCAGCACTGGCTGCTCCTCACAAAGACCACCCTGCAGCCCCCCTGCTGGCAGCTCCTGGGCACAAACCTCTGGTAAATCACACAGATTGCCAGGAGACACGACAGAAGCAGAAAAGAGGATGAATCCCAAAGCTAGAAAAAAAACATAAAGACAGTGCAATGCCTATACCAAACCTGTGGGTGAAGGCACAGGTTACAGGTGGCAGACTTCATACAATAAAGAAACCTCTCATACTATTAAACAGGACAACTTTTATTCAAACATTCGCCACTGCTGACATTCAGTGCTTTTGTAAAACAGTGAGTCTGTGATTCTGAGATGGAAGCATGATTAATTCAAGGAAATGCAATGTCCCACCTGCATGTTAAGCAGCTCCTCAGTTTCTCAGCTCCTCTCTGTTGCTGCTGCAGTCTCTCTTTTCACAACTTCTGTGCTGACCACAGGTGTGGGTCATTCTCCAGATGCCTGGCAACTGACAGGTGATTAATAGGCTGTCAGTTCTTTTCTCATGGGAAGGGGGAAACAAAGATAAAGACATTTTCCCATCTCGTTTGGTTGTCAGTAGTAGTGTCATTAGAATCTCTCATAATGTCTTACACTTACTTGCCTCTGAGCATTCAACATATCTAAACAATTTCATAGTTGCTCTCTAAATCTGCTTACACTTTCTGAATCTGATTGTGTGGTACTGTGCTTTAGCACCTTGCTTGCTGTGTCTCCTTCTGCCTTTTTAATCATCGGATGTTTCTGGTAAATTTTTCTCTTGCCTCTTTTCTGGACCTCCTTAGGAAGAGAATAAACCCCCTGTTTTGTCCCCTACTCTCCTTGCTCTTTCTCTGTTGTCTCCATCCATCTAATCTGAATATCATTAGCTGTATCCTTCTAATAAATCAAGAAATGTGTCATGCTGCCATCTTGACGATAACATATCCAAAATTGGAATATCTCTCTTTGTTTTGCCCCATTTTACTTTTGCTGGCAAGCAACCAGCCCTGCTCATCTGGCCCCAGGCATTCAAACAAGTTTCATATCTCAGCAGTTCCTCCAGTCCCGCGAACCAGAGTTTTTGTGTTCTCTTCACAAAATTAAAACTGTCATAAATTTGTCTTGACTGTAACCAGCTTCTCCTTATCTTCCTGAAACTTAACTAGTTCTACTGCAATTGGCTAGATGCCTGTACTTTTGAATCCATTTGAGTATTCTTAATCTCTGTTGAATCTGCTGTTTGCAATACATGAAGTGATTTTTTTTTCCTTTTATTGCTTTTTAAACCCAGTGATGTCTCCTCTTTCCAACTGATTTACTGTAGAGGTTATTCTGTGTATTTAAACTACTTCTTCTCATATATGACAAGCAGAACAATTGTTATTTAGGTAATAGCCATCATATACAGAATTCTCTGCCCAAAGCAGTCCATGGAATTGTTCCTGAAACCAGTTTTCTGTGTCCTGCCCAGTACTGGGAGTGCACTGAGAAGTGGACAGTTTGCACTACACAAATAGTGGCCAGAGGACAATTCTGATATTTATCTTATTTTATTTACCAATTTTAACACCACAAGAATAAAAATCAGTCAGGTTTACACAAAACTGGGCTTTGTAGTTCCCTGTTCTTTCTGTATATTTGTTTTTCTTTACTTCTTATACTAAATGAGAATCCAACACAACAGCAAAAATATGTTTACTTGATCCACATTCTGCTTCGTTATAGCGTTTAGACCATTGAGTCAGATTTGTGACTGTAAAGTCTTATTCAACAGAAAAGACATGATCGTGCTAGTTGAAAGCAAAAGCCTTTTTGATATTTCTTTAAGAAACGTCGGAAATTAAGATGCTCAAAACATAAGAAGAAGTCATCAAGAGCAGTCTGAATATAATTTTTAACATAAAACTATCCTGAAAGCAAATAAGTTTTTACCCTTTATTTTCACTCAAATTTATATTCAATACCTTGACAAAATTCTTTTTACTGTGCACTGCTCACCCTGGGCAGCAGTTGGGTTTGAAGCACTGGGGAGCCTTCATGAAGGAAAGGCTGGAAAGCGTGATCTGTCTGAAGGAATCTCTCTTCACCTGTGAATCAGAATTAATACACATTGGGCAGGTTGAATTATATCTCAGATTTCACTGGCTATTTTTTTGAGGATAAGTTTCTTACTTGATGTAAGATGGGAATATATTTCTTAAATGTGTAAGTAAATGAATTGGGAAGATTGAAAACATTAAACTGAAATGGAAATATGATAATAAGGAAAATCATTGGGGATTTAAAGTCACTGTGAGCATTTCTCAAGGAAAATAAAGCTGAAGGCTGCACATTCTCTGTGTGACTGCCTTAGGTAAGCAATAATTAAAATGGAAAATCGTAGCAAATACCATAATATGTGGTACGTTGATGAAGTACAACAAGAGGATTTAAATAACTGTATCCTGTAGTCATCATCAGCTTTCAGTACATAAGAGAATGGCATGAAGAAATCACTCCATAATGGGCCAGGCATTGTTTCAGGAGAAAAAGAATTGGCTTTGTGTATTAAGCATGTATAATTTCCATTTTGATCAGCCTGGTAGAACTTTGTCCTCATGTTTCACTCAGAATTCTGAAATTAAATATTCTTCTTCTATCTTTTCTAATTTTTTGGTTTGTTTTGAATCTTTAAAAATCCTTTTTAAGTATTCTTTCTTAGCAAAAATCCATTATATGCTTAGGAGCAATATAGAAAAGATAGGGCCAAAAACTTATAATAAATCAGTGTGTTTTCAAAGTGTGGTATTGATAAAATAAACTATTGAAAATGTGTCTAGGTTTTGTAACTGAAACACAATAATTTCAGAACAGAACTTGTCCACCTATGACAAATTCATCCCACTAGTAGGTAAACTTGGCTATCACTGATACTGTGATGACTTGCAATTGCCCATACAGAAGTGAAGGTCAAACCTATACATTCAGAACTGCTATGTACTCCAGTAACTGGGCTTTTCTTAGTGGATCAGTGCCCTTATTTCAGGCTGTAGTGGCTAGATTTTAACAAATAGCCATTTTACTTGGCTTTAAAGCACCTGCAAGAGCTGTGAGGTTTCGAAACTGGCAGGATTTTGTTACTCAGTCTTCACTGCATGTTAGCAAGCAGTGAAGTTTTTACCCTATTGCCTCTGTATGTACAATATAATCCAAATGACAGATGTTTATTTTTAGTGAAAAGCTTTCTCTGACATTTTAGTATAAATAAGGTCCAAACACCTCGGTCTTCATT